CTTCCACGAATCTTGTTAAATTGTATCTGACCATATATATGATTTAGCGTTAAAACTTAAAAGTCATATATTACTCAAGATATTGTTGATGCAAACAAAAGGAAATTTGAGCGTTTGCTAATTGCTAGTGGATTGGGCTTTCAATTTTCATAGGTTAGAGTTATTGGATCTTCAAATGAAATTATTTTGACATACTTTAAAATAAAATGCCAACTTTTTTTTTTGTTCACAAAATGCCAACATTTTTTAATAGTTTTTTTGGGACTCATAAGACCAAGTCTTCTAAATCTAGTTATGTTCTTTATCATTCCACAACAGGAATAAGAGGTGTTAGTCCATTTATCATGAGTTATGATCCATGAGCATCTATTTTCTCTAATCTTTTAAAAATAGATTTTCATGAATTAAATGTCATTCCACAATAGGAAACAAATAAGAGGTGTTAGTCCGTTTATCAATGCTCATTAATTGGATATCAATGCTTTGAAAAAACTAAATGTTATGAGAATCAGACATCTAGTTATGAAAACAATGTTATGAGAATCAGACATCTAGTTATGAAAATAGATGCTCATGAATCGGGCATCAATGCTTTGAAAAAACTAGATGCTATAAGAATTGGACATCTAGTTATGATTCATGAGCATCTACTTTCAAAGTCATATTTTCACTATTGGTGTTAGAGAGGCTTCCATGCTCGGTTTCCCAAGGCTAATTGGTGTTGGTCTGTTCTAATTATCCTATTACCCACATCTTTTGTTAGTTTTAATAATTTGGTTAAACCATTGGAATGTTCGTAACCCAGGAAAGGGAATGTCTTTATTCTTCTTTTAGTGGAATAATCTTGAAATCGCATTTTGATGAAAATTAAAAAAAAAGGTTTTGAGATTGACTTTGGCAATCTTTGTCAAACTTCCATGTAATAAGATTTGACTCTATCTATGAATTGTCAATTTTATGAATTCAAAAATATTTTGTTATGAATAACATTATGGACTTTTATAATGTAAATCTTTTTGATATAAATTCATTATCTAATTCTTAACCAACGACGAATGTTTTTTAATAGTAGTCACGAAAAGAATTTTGTAAGAACAAAATTAAGGACATGAGGCCAGAAAAGAAGTCCTTGTGAGCATGTCTAAGGTCAAAGGATTCTCAAAGGTTGGTAGGCCTAAGTTAGAGAATGTCTTGATCCTTCTTTTAGTGGAACAATCTTGTAATCGCATTTTGGTGAAAATTAAAAAAAAAAGGTTTAAAGATTGATTTTTGGCAATTCTGGTCAAACTTCCATGTAAAAGGATTTTTCGTTTGAAATTCGACTCCACCTATGAATTGTCAATCTTACAAATTCAAAAATATTTTGTTATGAGTAACATTATGAATTTTTATAATGTAAATCTTTTTGACATAAGTTCATTATCTAATTCTTAACAATCGACGAATGTTGTTAATAGCTTTTTCGCTTAGTATAAGATTCCATGCATTTTAAGTTAGACTTTGTTTGCCCAAGTTTGTTCATTTAGACTCTTTCTTTTTTCCAAACTAAGATCAATATTTCATCAAATATTTTGCTTTTGCTCTCTAAATACCATAGAATATCACATCATGCTTAAGTGAGTGCCAATTGGTAGTCCAGTTTTCTTCATGTTGTATATCCCAATGTAATAACGTGACATGTTAAGCTGGACTTTTTTTGCACAAGTTCGTTTGTTTTTGTTCATTTATATTGTAATTCTTGATTTTTTCAATTTTTTCAGTTTAGGTCAAGAATTCCTTTCTTTTTTACGAACTAAGATCAAAATTTTATCAAACATTTTGAATCTTCTCTCCAAATACCATATAATATACTAAGTGAGTGACTAATTGGTAGTCCAATTTTCTCCATGTTGTGTATCGCAATGTAAAAACATGACATGTTATTTCTTCCTTAGATTTTCATAAAACATTGACATGTTACTTAATTGCGTAGATTTTCACGAAAGCTCTCAATTCAAAACTCACATCTAATGGTCTGCTTGAAAACCAAGAAATCAAGAACACTACAAAAGAAATAGTAACTTTTGTCAATGAAAACCAAAATACAATGATTTCTTCAATCGATTGCATTGATTTTCACGAAAGCTCCCAAATTTGTTTTGTTGAATCAATTCTGTGAAACTTCGAACAAAAATTATGAATTTTGTAGACAAAAACTCACTTCTAAGATCTTACGGACTCTGAGAAAAAATAGAACTTTGAATGGGTTCTTCCTCAACAGCAAGAAATCAAGAACCTACAAATAAAAGTATCTTAGGTTATAGAATACGATGATAATTTGTATAATAGACTGTGAAGAATACAATGATTTGAACAAGTACAAATTTTCAAGAAAATCACAGATTTACAAATTTTCTATCAAACAAAAAAAAACACTTGGAGAGAATTTAGGATTCACCTCTAAGATCTTCGTTCGTGTAGCAACTCTTGAACAATCAAAACTTTGAATGGTAGACCATCAATGCAAATGCTTTTTTTCCATTGACTCCAGCACTACCTTGTCCTCTATATAGGCTAGTCTTCTCCAAATGATGTCTTCACCCAAAGTAAAGACATAACAGGTACGTAGTTTCTTCCCCTGCCCTGGTCACAGCTAGTGCTTTGAAGAGGCCAGAGACAGAGCCTAAGAAATATTTTCTGGTCATGGTCATCAAGACAAATCTGTCGAAGTTGGTAGCTAACCTAGGAGGCTTCCTGAGCTCACCAGATGTAGGATTATAGATCCATACGTTGTGATAACGATCCTTGAAACAGAGGATTCCTTTGTCGTTGGAAGTAAGTGAAGCGACTCTGAAACCATTTACAATTGATGCTAATTGAGCAGTTCATTCACGGGTCCACACCTTAAACTCCTTGTTCCTACTCCCCATAAACAAAACCTTGGAAGGTTTGTCCTCATGTTTTCCCTGGAATAGCAATGAATACTCTCTCGAACTCATCATCTTCACCATTTCTTTAGAAGAAACAATACACTTGTTCACAGTTGTGATGTTGATTCTCGCGAGAATATCACCAACTAGATCAGTCAAAAGTTCAACATCAACGCTCTCTATCGCCATCTGTGCAGAGGCGAAAAGTCAGAAACCCTACAAAAAAGCAACTTTTGTCAACGATGATTTGAACATGTACGAATTTTCAAGAAAAAAAAACACTTGGAGAGAATTTAGAATTCACCTCTAAGATCTTCGTTCGTGTAGCAACTCTTGAACAATCAAAACTTTGAATGGTGGCGTGAACAGCAAGAAACCAAACGAATGTCTCTCGAAACTTTCTTGGGTTTTTGATTTTTGAATGGCCAAAGGAATGCCTCTCAACTGATTAAAGACTTAAAATCGACTTAGCCTAGTCTTATAAGGTAACCCTTACCCTCAATATTACCGTTGGATTAAATGGATCTTATATGATACACTAAGATAAACCCTTCCTCTAAATGTTACCGTTAAATTTATATAATGAAGCAAGATAAAAATCTGAGCGCATTGTTTTGTTTCTAATCGAAAAATCGTGTCAAATTTACTTTATAAAATTTGTTTATATTCTAACATTTTGAAAAACAAAATTGGTCAGATAATCATTGTTTCCTCTTTTTTTTTTTTTTGAGCTAAGAGTTCTATAAAGAAAAAAAACTGGCCATATTTTTTCTTTTCTAACAACTCCATCATCATCATCTAATTACTTACTAATTGCGTAAACTAGACTGAACAAAACGGTAATTAGTAGACGGTTGATCAGTTCTTGACTCTTGAACCGGTTGCTAGTCCATGTACATATGGTCTTCAGTTTAAGTGGTTAAAGCTTTAAATTGGTGGTTTTTGAAC